TCTGTCAGCAGGTTCACATACCAGACAGAAAACCTCTTAACGGTGTCTCCTCAGCCTTCAAACTAAATATTGGGATATTCATGGACAAAGCACTTCTGTGCCTCTTCCATTACACTACTGTATGTATGTAGAATATTACATAAAATGACACAAAGTAAATATATTTTATATTCATGACAGGTCTTAAAATAATGATATCTCATCTCTTGTCACTAAGTAAAGAAAAGCATGTTAGTTATCATTTTATATTTAAAGCACAATTCAGAGGTACAGTAATAAGCACAGTGGATATGTTTCGGTTGATGGTAATGAAGGTTGATTATTACTCCCTTGATGTGAAATTTTTTTTTTTCTAATAACCGCATGTGTCGGAGTTGGTATCCCCCTCATACTTTGGCCAATCCCCAGCAATCAAAATACAAACTTTATTTTATATATCTTGTGGCTATGTGATATAGAAGCCTATGTTTTTATACCTAATAAGATGACATCTTTGTCAATCTTAAAATAAACTTTAACTGCAACAAGTACAGGAAACTGTGTCTCTTGCAGTTGCCAAGTTATAGAGTTTGTCTTTAATATACAGAAGAAAGGAATGATAACGGTTTGTTATAATAGCAATAATATATTGATATTGCAATATTAGAGTAGATATCCGACACTCACCCAGTATTCCTTATATTAAACACACCAACCATGCAATCCTAATTGAGTAATCTATACCATGATAGATTCAGATTAAAATACTTGACAGACATGCGTATGAAATGCCATTATAAGGGGTCAAAGTGAATCATTTTGGGACACGATTCCTTGATACAAAACCTTCGAAACATTTCGCTAACATTAGGTTGCCACTGCCTTCGCTTAAAAGCCTTATGAGCTTGTTAAACTATGATTACAGATATCAATAAAGGGTTCAACCTTTTACCTGGACCAGGACTTTTTTTTCATTGCAGTTGTCATGATCTTTTAAACAAATTGGACTCTTGTTCATGTTCTGTAAACTTTCGGAAAGTGGCTCGTGAGCCTGCAGGGTTAAACTGCCAAGACTCTTTTTCAAGGAATTATACAAACATTTGACATTCAAACACATGTCAACCATTATTAAAACATTAAAACCTCTAAAACCCTATTTTCTTTCCAATATGTCTTAGAGCCGAAGCTTATATACTTCCTAATAAAAGAACATGTGCCTGACAAGCCAGTTGGCTTGGTTAGAAAAACCTTAAAGTTTATCTCTTTTGTTTCCTCTTTGTCTTTCCTTTGCTGGGTTTTATCAGTCCAGAGGTCTGGGAGCACTTATACTGAACTCAGGAAAGCCAGGAGAGAGGAAGGGTGCAATGAACCAGCTATTACATAGAGCAGGGAGGGAGTGATGGATGAAAAATAATGGCGAAAGAAAAGAAAAAGCTGAAAGATGAAAGGATGGAAGACGCCCTTCATTTCAGCAGCTTGGGAGTCTCCAACAGACTCCCGGTGACAGATTACCCCGCTCCGCCTAAGAACAACTAACACCCGTCTGAATGTGCGCATCTGGGCTACGCTGAATGAGAAAAAAAACTCATTAATTCATAGGCTGTAAGCGAAAACAAACACAACCCTTCACTCTGAGAACTAATGCAATCTGATCATAATAGGATGCTGGTGTGTGTGTGTTGGGGTTCTCAAGTGCCCCCTGTCTTTGGTGAGACAAAGTGAATATTGTATTAGAGAGAGTGTGTGTCTAAAGTCAGTGTGTGTTTCTGTGTGAGCGAGCACAAACATAGATGGAGGGAATTGAAATGAATAAGTGAAGCAGGCTGAAGAGAGAGGAAGACAAATGAAAGACATACATAGACACATAAGAAAGGCAAAGAGAGATGCATGATGGGAGGTTGGTAGACGCTTGGCAGAGGGCTGGGAGTGCAGTCAACCGCACACACATCGCATACCTCGACGCCTCAATGTCACCCCCAGTACACACATGATCACACAAGAACACACACACATTCTCACTTTGTTGTCAGGAGTTATAATTGCAAATTAGGTTGAAAAACAAACATGAACCGGAATATTCTCTTTATGTTTGCTATGATCATAAACAAATATAACAATAAAAGAAAATCAAATAATTCATAAAGTCAGGAAGTGAAAAACGATAAAATACTGATTTTTTTATTTGTTAGTCAAGAGAGGTTAAAGTCTTCCATAACTACAAAATGCAATATTTTTGGGCGGAAAAGCAAATGTTCTTCCCCAAAAGATATGGATTTATTTTAGCATTTAAATGAGTATATTAAAACGTGTATTGAGGACCTATTTCATTATGAAATAAAGTGATTTTATGTTGAAAGGCTTTGTAAATAAATAAATGTCTGATAAGATTCAATCTCCATCCAATTACACATAGATGGACTGAAATGGCTAAATCAATGTTGAATGGGATGCTTAAGGTAAACATAAAGAGTACTGGATTGAATTGTAATAGTTTGGAGGTAAACTTCCTGCTCGACCTTCTACCCACTAATTGATTGAAATTAGATAATGACAGCTTTTCCTGTCGCCAAATTACCTCTACATCCTCCGGGGAATACAAACACCCTCCAGGCTTCTCCGTGTTATAATGAAAGAGCAAGCGATAGAGAAAGAGACACACAAACAGGGGGAACGCTGAGGTTAGGAGGAGGAATGAGAAATTAGACTAAAAAAGTGAGAAGATAAGAAACATGGAGACGTATGGAACGATTTACTGGGGAAAGACAAACTAGAAAAAAAGAGAATTGAGCCGAGGGGGAAATTATGTAAAACGAGGCAAACAGTGGGATCAAATCTGAGGTCATCCCGACAGGAAGAAACTTGTTGGGCACTAATGAGAATCCTGTAGGCACAATTTTTTCCCACACTCCTCGTGAAGCTGGCAAAATGAGAGCAATTTTTCGATGGCAAGTAATGAAGAAGTACTGGTTTTATGTGGTGCTTTTTATTGCTAGACCAAAGTGAAAATTGATCTCGGAAAGCTTTGAAAAGGGGGGCTCTGTAGAGTGCTGTGACTCACAACCTTGGGCACTGATTTTTTCCACTTATAGTGTTTGCCCAGGGCCTGACTTTGTTTGTTCAATAACTGAGGCTCACTCTGTATACTCAATTATGTTGCAGGACTTTCTGAATAGTATCTCTTAAAGATCAAGAAACCATTCAGTAAATGTATGGCAAGGTTAAAATATTTAACATTGAATCACAAGACATTATGTAGTGATTTAACTATAACATCTAATTAGGATGGAGAGGATAAAAAAAAACAATGACATTTTTGCAACGCCCATTGACCAACATACAACAACATACTAACAACTTTGCTATTGGTCCTAAGGTGGTTCATTTTTATCTGTGAGTGTCACAAGAGGCAACGCTACAGGGTCAATCTAGTTACAAGGGCTAATCCCCATGTCCACATCAATATGCTCTGCAAATTTAATGGCAATCTATTCCTATGAGATATCTTTTGTGCAAGTCCATGTTTTTGGCCTCAAGGTGGTGGTGAAAGACGGAAAGCTCGAAAACTGTTCATCCTCTGGGGACCAGGAATGTGTTCAGAAAATGTCATGGTGATGGTGTCACTAGATAAAAGGTCAGGGGTCACTTTAAGCTTTACGTTTTTACCTCTTCAGGACCATGAATATGAATATGGTCATTTATACGACGTAATAAATGTTATCCTAGGGCCTACTGCCAAAGGCCAACAACACATGTTAAGTAAGTATATAGCAGTTGCTCAGTTGGTAAAAAAAAAAGCATATGGAGACTACAATTACTCTGCTTGTCTTCTATGGTGCCGAATATCCTACGTGTTGAATCCATTTTTGTTTTTTCTGTCTCGTACGTAAGTTTATCTCTCTCTCTGTTCTGAGCAATATTTCCAGTCAGCCAACAGGAAGACCTGTTACCTCAGATGGTGAATTTTCTCCTGGAAACATGGAGTTGAACAAGAGGAAATCCTGTGTGATATATAGGCCTATCGCTGATGATGATTGCAGACCCGCTCTGGCCTGAGCAAAATGAAACAATGAGCATGGCTTGGCAACAACATAGTCAACACCATTTAAACACACACACACACACACACACACACACACACACACACACACACACACACACACACAAACACAAACCTTAACTTCCTTATTAGCATTCAACCTGAGTGAGTCATGTCCATCATCAGAGAAGAAAAGGACAAAACATGGCAATGTTTAAATCTCGGTCATTGGCAGTAGAAAGCCTCAAGCCTAAAAAAACAATCAAATGCAATTACACTTCCATCCAGATTGTATGTAACTACTTTTTGAGTATTTACAAGGTGAAAGGTCATTATCAAAGATTAGGCAATCTGACCTTGTGTAACAGACGACATCCACGTCTGATGGAAAATTAGTGGTACTTTCGATGACCTGTGCTGTTAAGTCCTTCAGACCTAATTACATAATGTTAGTAACTACACCGCAGTATACACGCTTATTAAGATCCTTCCCAGGTATTTCCGTTGCGGTTGGCGCTCCTAATAAACCTTCATAGTTGGAGCATCGTATCCCACCGCAGAGATGAACCTCAGCTAAAATCTCCCCCGGCTGGACACCCCGCCTGGAAACTAGAAAATTAACGTCTGCGAGCCTTGTAAAACACATAAACCTCCCAAAACAGAAGCCAGAACATCGGCCTGGATATAACGCCTTCAGCTCGGACCACCGCGAAGATAGCCTATAGTTCGAGATAAATACACAAATAAAAATAAAAACAAGCCTGTAAACTGCAGTACCACGAGGGTGTTAAGTTAAAATGTTCACACACAAAACATATATTTGTTGAAAAGAGAATGAGAAAAGTCAAATACTAAGCACCAGACTGTCAAGATCGCCAATTAATGCCACCTGTGGGGCACGCGCGCGTACAGATAAAGGGTGATAGAAAACAGCTGTGCAGATATATAGATAATTAAATAGATGGATAATGAATCACTTAATTACCTTTGTATGACAGTCTCAGTCGCGGTACGTTTAACTTGGTCGCTGAGACGGTGGCGACAAGAAGCGCCACAAGAATAAATCCCTTCATTCTGCTGGAGAGATGCACTCCGGGTTTTAACTAGTAATTTCAAATTGTGTTGGCAAAAATCAAGCAGAATATTCCAGCAGGATTTGGAGAGGGAAACGGGTGTTTCCTTGTTGTCACAGTGCCAACAGTTGCGTTTCCAGGTAGTTCCCCGGTGCGTAAAAGGGTATTTGACTGAGCAGCTGTGTCCTCTCCGCGGACTGACTGAGCTGCACTGACTCCGCTCTGACGGCTCACACTCCTTCAGTTCTTTTCCAACAGCTGCCCAACAGAAGTCTGTTTCAGCCAGACAGAGAGAGAGAGAGAAAGAGAGAGACAGATTACACCACGCCTGTACAGCAGAGGGAGAGAGGGAGAGAGCAGTAGCTGCCCCTCCTTTACGCACAACACAAAACTTGGAGACACGCTCCTTCACATGATTCATATCACCATTTCAACATCATGTGAAGAGCATTTAGTAGCAACAAATTTAGCTTTTAGAAACTGTTATAGAAACATTCATCATTTCTAAACAGTGTAAAAAACCTATAATAAATCATTTGTAACACATTATGATGTACTTATAAACATTGTAAGTGTTAATATAGGCTATATGAAGTAGATAGCCACTACATTAATCAACTATTTAAAAGAGTTTGGGTGCCTGGGTGGGGGAAAAAAATGATCACCAATACATCAAATGAAGCTCCCTAAAGACATTCTGCACTTTAGACAATTGTGCTGAACCTGGATTGTAGATTTGTGGTAATTCCAAGGCAAACTGCGGAAAATATAGCAAACAGTTATAACAAATATATGTTAGGTATGTTGTAGTACCTGAACAAATAAGTCATACAAATAAAAAGCGAGTCAATCCATATGTTAAAATGCTCAATTTCATTGCTAAAATCTATTTTTTTTAAATATAACGTACCTTTTATAGAGGCTCATTGTGATGCGTTATTAAGGGCGTCGCCAGCTATGCTGTCACGGGTCTCTAGTTGCTATATCGGCCTCAGTTACAACGACTCTCAACCTATTTGCCTATGTTTTGATTAAACAAGTTGAGTAGAGTCTTCACAGGCTAAACATGGCAACGGCAACCAAATTAAGCTTCACTTTGGATTAAAAAAAACCTATGGTCAAAACCTAAGGTCACGCAAGACTACGTACATATTTGTACAGTCAAGAGCACTGAGGAGAAGCTCTATGATTCATGGGTTATAAATCAATAAACAAATAAAACACGCAACTTCATCACCACATTTCTCTCCTCTGCGAGCCCTGTGCATGCTTGCCGTTTCATAACCCCTTCAGGACCAACGGGACGTGTTCAGTAGTTTAATTAAGTTGTGGGGTACCTTCTCAACACCCCCCTCCCCATGTGCTTCTATTCACAAACAAGCCTACAAGTGAACACAGGGGTCACGGCAGGGTGGGCGAGAGCCATTCAAAGTGTCAGTGTTACCGCGACCCAGAATCTTTTGGGAACATTTGTTTGTACCAGGAATGAGGCTCCCATACATGTTTCATATAGACTGAGAGGCAGAAAGTGGGGGGAGAGAGGAGATAAGTGTTGAATGGAATGCTGGGTCCTTGAGATGACAGCGTGTCTCATAGCCGTGCAGAGGACCTGTGTGTGACGGTGAGGGGCTCCCGTGTGCACTTCAAGTTTTGGTCTCACCAAGAACTTGTCCATCATGTGCATTCACATCAGTGGAGTGACAAAAATAATCAATAATGTTCTCATTACAGAATTTAAACAATTCCTTCTCTTAGTTAGATTATTGCAAGGACCAGATAACCTTACATTAATGTTTTGTCGTAAGGTTTGATCGTGATAAAAGGTTTTAGTTTGGCTTTAGTAGCCTATCTTTGGCACTCCCTTGAGTGGTGCTCAAGGGGAAATCAGTCATACTTTTCAACAAGATATGAAATGTCCTATTTTTGGATGAAAATACTTCAAGTGCATATTTTGGCTCATTTAGGATAAGGCATGGGAAAATTGCACAATATAAATCTATTTTAGTATACCTCAACAATGGAATTATGATCAGTAGAAATGGCCATGACATGGGACCTTTAATATATCACCAACAATATAATCAAAATGCTTGTGTATAATTACTGTAGACAAATGAAACCACAGCGCTGACAGCAGGGAGCCTTGGTCTCATTCCAGTGGTATTGTGCTTTCTGTAGTTAAGATCATGTTTCTAGTAAACACTGTTGCTTACTGATGAAATAAAGATGTTGCTACTTGTCCTTGTCTTCAGGCACATTTTTTGTTTATTTTTGGAGGATGAACATGTTTCAAAGGATCTTTCAATCTACTATCTCTTGTTTTTCTATGCTAGCTTTAGCATTGCCAGAAATATTATCAGTCTTTACTCTTATTTTGATACATAACATGTTAGTATTGCATTATGTTGATTACATGTTGATTATATGTAAAAAGCAAACGGACCGTTGATTTTTCCTGGCTCTGTTATTAAAAAACATGAATCAAAATTATATTGCAACATTTAATTCTTAATCTTTCAACCTTCTTTGACAATGTGAGTGAGATTTCATTGGCAATTCACAGCAGTAAAATGTCCTTGGTTATGTTAACACATTCCAAAGAGATTATTATTCAAAGCAAACAACACACCATCCGATTTAACAAGTTAGCGACCTCCTGTTATTGAAGTTGCTCTGATTGGTGCTTTTGTTGGAGTGAAGTGCTCTCAGCCTTCAGTGGCTCATGATTGGACATCACTCTTCCAAAAGCCGAATCTTTTTGAAGGACAAACAGACGTGGGAAAGCAGCAAAAGAGGCCACAGGCAGTGTGAGTGCTCAAGAGCTGAATTAATTATTTGTCAAAACACCAGCCACCTTACCATCCTTGTGAATGAGTGTTCCCTGGTTAGTACTTGAAACTAGAAATGACCTGAGAGAAATAATCCCTTTTTAACCGCGATATTGTCAGAGGAGCATGAGGAGAAGAGCAAAATGAATGATCTTTCTTCTGTTTTACTTTTACTTTCTCTTACTCTCTCTGTAAATTCCTCAAGGTCGTTACCAATCACAGACAAGACTCCTATGGGTTTCAAACATGATTACTCTTAAAAATCCAAGAAAGGATATTTTTTCGTGCCTCAGTATCACCATCCAAACTCTTGAACAATGTAATTCACAATGAAAGGATCTCTCAGAATCCCCTCAGCTTAGGGATTGCGGTCCGTTGTCTGATTGAATTGTGCCGTCTGAGCAAATGACCTTCTTTGCGCCTCACAAAATACTCCTGGGACTGAATTAGGCTCTTCAGTCTGTCAGTGGAAATGAAAGGTAAGACTACTTATCAGCATCTTGACATTGCGTCACTTGGACAAATCAGATTGGTGCTCCTTGAGTGATGATTGGGAATGGCAGGGCAGAAGTTCATGAATTCACAATGTGGGAGGTAGGGCAGAAATACAGGATGGAGAACAATTCTGAAGCGCAGGGCGAAGAGACAGCTGGTGTGTTTGTGTGTGCGCCTCAGGGTTAATAAATGTTTCATCAAAACCCACCTATTGGAATTGACATGAGAGCAGACACAGTATAGGACAAAGTGTGTCGGGAAAGTCATAACGAGTGGGAAAAAAGCAAGGTAGAAAGGTAAAACACTGAACAGTGTCAACACACCTGAGCACATAAAGCTACACTTACAACATATCAAATAAGATTGTAGCGCAAAAAAGGCATAGCTTCCATTGCCACAGTCGTGTTAGCTTTGTCATTTCCAAAAGACAGCGAAGGTCCAAAGACATGTTCTGCTTTAATTTAGGTTATTTTGGCTATTTTCTACTGGTAGATTGAAGGTTGCTACAATAATGAAAATCAAATGGGGAACTATGAAAATCCTAATGCCTGTAACTTTTTTTGTATAATGTTGTGGACATGTGCACATGTAACGTATTTGTTACGTTGCAAAAAGCCCTAAATGCAATTTAAAGGTCCTCTATTATACTGTTTTTCATCAATATATTATAGGTCTCAGTTATATACAAGACATGTCTCTGAAGTGTTTGGCCTCGAAATACCTAACAGATGCATTGTAGCATTCCATAATCCCCTCTGTTTCAGCCCTGTTTCAAAAGTGCTGATTCTGTGTCTGTTACTTTAGATGAAAATAAGGAGCCCCTCCCCAGTCATTTTCAGACAGGTTTTTATATAAATGGATCAGGACAAAAAGAGAGAGAATCTCTTTACACAATGCACAATGCAGTGACTGCTTTTCGTCTTTTGTTTTCTGTTCTCTGTATTTTATATGTTTGTGTTATGTGTTATGTGTAACGTTGCTGCCTTCTTGGCCAGGTCAGCAGTGTAAATGAGATTTTATCTCAATGCTTTTTTATCTGGTTAAATAAAGGTTAAATAAATAATTACACATGTTTATGGATAAAAGACAGGAAAAAGTGGATTTTGCATAATAGGTGACCTTTAAAAGGTAAGTTTAACTCTTGTGAAATGTGAGGTAGCTGTTGTAATAGGCCCTTTTCACAGTAGACATTCTGACTTTACAATATTAACGATGGCTCTGTTCTATCCGAGCGTCATTTCAAGCCATAACAGTGAGACAGAGCCAGTAATCACAATGCCAAGACCCTGAAACTGAAGCAGATACAATGGGAATCTGCAATCATCTTTTGTTTAAACACCAAAAATCAAAATGTTTTCATTGAAAAATACCTACTCCACCATCAAAAGGTGAGCTGACTCATGAAAGGTAAAGTATTCCTGTGGGATAAATATGTTACCCACTAAAATGAGGCTCAAATCTTTATGGTTTATTCCTCTTATTGTAAGTCGCTTTGGATAAAAGTGTCAGCTAAATGCTATGTAATGTAATGTTATGAAGAATATAATACATTAGCAAGCACTAACTTACACCATTTCCAGGCTCGGCCAACAAGAATGATAACATAACTTGTTTTGTAGACAAGGATGGAGCATTGTGCTTACTGCACTGATATTTAATGTCACAAACTCAATTCAATAACTTAGATCAGCTTGTTTGATTCCAAACCAAAGCCATACACGTTTTGGCCTTTCTTCAAGTTCCAGTCAATTGTTTTACACAAAGCCAGCTGGTATGGAAAACAGTTGCATAGGGGACCCTTTAGCAAGTATCCGAGCTTATCACACACAGAGAGCTTTCCATTGATTGAAAAAAACAAAGAGAAATCAGTTGGAGAAAAATAGTTTTGCAACAGCTGCCTCCTCAGTGAGCTGAGAATTGTTTTGACCCAGCTTCCACACAGCCTAACATCTTTGGC